AACAATGGTGCCAGAATAGGCCTGGGGCTGAATGGCCTACTTCTTCTATTTCATATGTTCCTATAATGCCCCAAGAGTTATAAATTGATCAGGACGCACTTTGTGATGTGCTGAAAATGTGAAAGGAGATACACAAACACAGTCCTCCTGACAGCTCTACTCATAGGAGTCCAGGATAGTGAATGGCCTTGTTGAGCCCAGGGGTGATGGGATTGTGACACAGTAAGTAACATGAACAGAGGTTTTGTGATAGAGACTGGAGGTGATGACTATGACATACCTGATGTTGAGCTGGAGGACCACCCCAGGACGTTAAATGGATAAACAGTCTGACAGGAGAATCAAAGATCATACAACAATAAGAGGTAAGAGCAGAAGTAGGCCATTCAGCAAATCTATTGTGCTCTGCCATTCAATGAGATCACAGTTGATCTGATAATCTTCAGCTCCACTTTCTCGCCTTTGACCCTTTATTCCCTTACTGATTAAAAATCTGTCTGTACCAGCACTGAATATATATAATGAACCAGCGTCTACAGCCCTCTGTGGTACAAAAATTACATAGATTCACGACCCTCTGAAAGACAAAATTTCTCCTAATCTCTGTATTAAATGTGTCAACCTTTATTCTGAGTTTTTTTCCCGCTGGTCCTAGACTCTCCCATAAGGGGAAACAACTTTTCGACATCTACCTTCTCAAATCCACTAATAATCTTATATGTTTTAATAAGGTCATCTCTCGTTCTTCCAATGAATGCAAACCCAATCTACACAACTGCTCCTCATCAGACAGACCCTCCATATCTAGTGAATCTTCTCTGGATTGCCTCCAATGCCAGTACATCTTTCCTTGGATAAAGGGCCCAAATTGTTCACGGTATTCCAGTACCTTGTACAACCTTATCAAGACCTCCCTTTATTTATATGCCATTTCCCTGAACAGAATTGATCTCATTGGTGTGTATGTAAAAACTAACGCTTGTGTTTATTAATCATGTCCCTGAGATGGAGACACAAATTGATTTTAATGTAATGTAACATCTCAAAATCATTTGAAGAAACGTTATGAGACAAACAATGATCCTGAACCACGTATCATGTTAGGGAAGACAACCAAGAACTTATTTAAAGAGATAGGCTTTTAAAGTAGAAAGTGGCCTTAAGATGAAAGAGGTTCAGGGAGAGAATTCAAGAACTTATGCCTCAAGCAACTGATGGTACAGCCACCACCAGTGGAGTGGTTAGCATTGCTGCCTCATTGCCCCAGGGACCCAGGTTGAATTCCAGCCTTGGGTGACTGTCTGTGTGGATTTTCCACATTCCCCATCTGTCTGCTTGGGTTTCCTCCCATAATCCATAGACGTGCAGTTTAGGTGGATTGGCCATGCTAAATTGTCTGTAGTGTTCAGGGATGTGCAGGTGAGGTGGGTTAACCATGGGAAATGCAGGGTTACAGGGATACGATAAGTGTTGGGTCTGGGTGGGATGCTCTTTAGAGGGTCAGTGCAGGCTCGGTGGGCCAAATGGCCTCTTTCCACACTACAGGGATTTTATGATTCTATGCACGACGGACATCAGGGATAGTCAGCAATACAGAATTGGAGAAGTGCAGATGTCTCACTCACAGAAATGGGAAGCTGAGGAAGGTTACAGACATAGGAGATAACAAGGCGTAGAGCTGGATGAACATGAACATGAAAATGAAGATTTTCTGAAGAAGGGTCTAGGCCCGAAACGTCAGCCTTCCTGCTCCTCTGATGCTGCTTGGCCTGCTGTTTTCATCCAGCTCTACACCTTGTTATCTCAGATTCTCCAGCATCTGCAGTTCCTGCTATCTCTACAGACATAGGAGCAAGAATGTGTAAAAGATTTAAAATAAAGAATAAGAATTTTAAAAAACAAGGAGTTGCTTAACATGATGGGCATGTACACAAGTGAACGGGCTCTTGGTGCGAGTTAATTCATGGGCGATAGAGTTCAGATGCATTAGGTTTATGAAGGGTGGAGTGTGGGAAGCTGCCCAGGGAGGCAATGGATTATTCAAGTCTAGAACTAACATGGACAGTGTGGAGGAATTTGGCAGCAGTTTAGCTGACAGGTGGTGAAGTCAGATGATATTGTGGAGGTGAGAACAGGTGGGCTTAGCGATGCTGTAGCTGTGGGGGGTGGGGTGGTCAGAAGTTCACTTTGGAATCAAATAGGACACCAAGGTTATGAACAGTCTCTTCAGCCAGAGACAGTTGTCAGGAAGAGGATTGGGGTTGGCAGCAAAGGAGTAGAGTTTGTGGTGAGGAGTGAAAACAATGGCTTCAGTCCTTCCAATATTTAATTTGAAGCCATTTCTGCTCATGTAGTACAAGAAATGGGATGAGCAGTTTGACAATCTAGAGATAGTAATGAGTGTTTGAAGTTTGGAGGATTCTGCGGTGGGGCAGTATGTAGATTAGGTTTAGGAGGACATCAAGGATAGAGCCTCGGAGATCAGCAGCCTACAGTAATGAGGAGAAAAGCCATCACGACTGATTCTCAGATTATGATTCGATAGATAAGAATCGAACCAGCACAGAGTCATTGGAAGAGGATGGTCCAATAAATCATGTCAAAGGCTGAAGTCAGGTCAAGAAGAGGAAACATAGATTACCTTTGATGCAGTCACATAGATGTGATTTAAGACTTTCAAAAGGGACTTTCCCCATAGCAGGGGAGGGATTCAAACATGGAGTTCTGGAAAAAACAGGCATGAATCTGATAGGTGACAACACTTTTAAGAATTTTGAAGAGGAAGGTTTTGAACAGTTCACTGCCAGGTGTGGCTGGACCACATGAAGCACTGTCAGGTCCTTCTCTTATCTGCCAAAGCTCTTCACTATTCTAGAATTATCTCAGAATTCAAAGATAAAACCAAATAGCTTTTCTTTTTCTCAACTGAAAACAGTCTTCTTAACCCTCCTGGAGATGGAACTTTAGTTTGAAAGTGCATTGGGGGTCAATGTCTGATATTTTTGTTTCATTTTAGGAGGGGTGGTGACACCAGATTTGAAGGAGAAGGGGATATACCTGAGGAGAGGGAGCTATTAATAATCTTAACAAACATGGGAGCCAAGAAGCAAGGTCGAGTGGTCTGTAATTTGGTGGGAATGAGGTACAGAGCAGCAGGTAGGATTCATGAATAACATGAGCTTGAAGATGTCATGAAAGAGGAGAGAAATCAGAGAGTGATTCAAGTCCAGGGACATGGATGGGGAGAGCCTTAGGGGAGGTTGGCCTGTTTGGCTCAATCAAGGGAGGAACACAGCACGGATAGTTCATAGGATTGTGTCAATCTCAGTGACAAAGAAATCCAGGAGTTCCGTACACTTATTACTGATGGTGAGAATAGGAGAGCCAGGAGAAGGCTTACGAAGACTTTAGCTGATAAAAAAAATGTTTTGTTTCATCTTTGATTTCCAGGATAATCCTAGAATAATGAATAGCTTTGGCAGAAGAGAGCAGGATCAGAGAATCCCTACAGTGTGGAAGCAGGCCATTTGGCCCATCAATTCCACATAGACCCTCCAAAGAGCACCCTATCCCTGTAACCCTATGTCTCCCATGGCTAAACCACCTAGCCTGCACATCCCTGGACACGATGGGCAACTTAGCATGGCCAATCCACCTAACCTGCACCTCTTTGGATCTGAAAGCACTTTATGGGGTCCAGCCAGATCTGGCAGTGATTGGTTGAAACTAGTTGTATGCCTTATCTTCAAGTCTGTGCCTCTTGGATGTAACAAAATGGAAGTCAGGGCCATCTACAGTGTACAGCCAGGATAGGAAAGAGAGTGACAGTAACGGTTTTAATGGAAACTAGTATACATCAAAAGCAACAAGCAGATGAGTAAAGGCCACAGTGTACAATGAGTGTTCAAAACCAGCTTCAGGGCTGATAGCTTGCTTCAGTTGATGGCACTGACACAAAAACTCAAGACCCATTGAAGATTTCCAGTCTTAGATAGGAGCCTGACAAGCTAACATCCAAAGAATAAAAAACTCCAAAATGGCAACACCTCACTCATCCTTGAAACTTCCAAGAACGGGAAAGAGCCAAATTAAATTGAAATGGTGAGACAGTGGGTTACGTAGAGGGTTAAAACATTCATATCCCTTCAAGGCAGGTTACAAACCCTGCCAGCACGCTGCAAGGGTCTGAGTGAAATGTGCTGGGCTCAAGTAAAACCAATGTAAGGACTAAATAAAAACCAAAAGAACTGCGGATGCTGTAACAAAAACAGAAGTTGCTGGGAAAGCTCAGCAGGTCAGGCAGCATCTGTGAAGAAAAAATGAGAGTTAACGTTTCGGGTCAGGTGACCCGCAGAACTGGGTTCTGAGGACAGGTCACCAGACGCAAAATGTTAACTCTGACCTTTTGTCTTCATTGATGCTGCCTGACCTGCTGAGCTTTTCCAGCAACTTCGGTTTTTGTTACCAACTTAAGGACTTTAACACAGGTGATTTAACATTCACTTTTTGAAAAGTCTTTTCAAAGTGAGAGAGACGATTGGTGTAGCGAGCTGTGCTCTGTAAAGTCAGGATGTCAGCACGCCATCAGCTTAATGTATGATAGTGCTGCTTGGTTTACACTCCAACTGATGATCAATGAAAGGGCCGGTACGAACTAAAAAAAAGGCTTAACTCTTCAGCACATCGTTTTGGCTTGTGCTGAGAAAATAAAGGCCATCGTGTTAGTCAATGCTCGCAGGATATTTTTCTCATTCCAAAGAAGTGAAAAATAGCCAAGTTGAATAATTACAGGTCCAGCATTAACACTGATCAGCATACTAATCAAGACTGACCTCCTGACCTCCCCAACTAAGCGACCAGATTGGTGATATGGACACTTGAGAGGTTAATGGCACAATTAAAATATCATTTTAAAACCTCCTAAAAAGGCTGTGGGGGGTGGGGAGAATGAACAGCTCTAAAGAGATACATCTGCAAAAAATAATGTCTTTGGTACTTACATCGCCCATTCCAGCTTCTCATTTTTGATTGAATTGTACAACGCCTGCAACGGAAAGAGAAGCTAAAAGTCATTCAATTCTGTTTGTTGTTTGAGCAGTTATCAATTATTTAACTGTGCTGCACACACTCAAATTTAATTATGGCAACAACTTGTTTAAACAGTTCCCATTAATATACTTAGCAGGAAATGTTCTTTTTAAGATTCTTCTATGATGAATTTGTTGTAGATGTAAGTGATAATGTGTAGCTGCCCACTTTTATTGAAACACAAACTAATAGATTCTCTCCGTCCAGTTCTAATACCTCTCAAAGAACCAAAATGTCCTTAAAAACATTACAACTAGGTACACTGCCACAAAACACCACAAATGAAAGTGCACTTTACGAAAAGAAATGTTCATTTGAAATTTCAATTACAGCTAACAAAGGCGTGAAACAGCTGGAAAAGCATGTTCTGAGAAATGGATTCAACATCCTGTCAATTAAACCATTATTCTCCGAGATAAGGTGTATTGTATTTGACTGAAAGGCTTTAGGGCTTCTGAAAAGATTTCAGGAAGTTGATACAAAGGTTCTTACTAGGATGGACTGGCTCGTTTTGCTAACGTCAACTTAATCCGTTATCAATTAACTCTTGAACTGCCTAAAGCATGACAAGTTACTCCAGGCATCTGCGCAGAAATTAACCTTACAAAGCAAGAAATAAATTCTAGATACAACTTTGAGATGGAATTGCATTCCAGCAAAAATCAAGATGCAAAAGGAGGGAAGCAAACAAGTTGGTTTTTAACTTTAGAGATAATTTGTAAGCAAAAGATTTACTCCTGAAAATTTGGTTCTTATTCTGTAACTCTAAATAATCTGCCATAATTCAACACACTTTATGTCACCCTCCCTTCAAATTCTGGTGTCTTACTCAGTCAGCTATCTTTCAGAACTAACATGATTTGGATAAATGTTAACCAGAATGCCAAACCACCAAGAAGATGAAATGTCAGGAGAATTAATTTTTTGCAGATTTATTTCCTGGTTAAAGTGAATTCAAACATTCCTAGACAGAAACCCAGTAAAGAGGACTGGAACAGGAACATAGTTGAAAACAAAAAAAGAAAAATCCTATTTGCTTATCAGCTGTCCATTTCTTTTTTTCAATATTCACTTATCCAGCTGTACAGATAACATATTCATGTCTGTGAGGCTTTGAGATTCAGTGCTAGAGGTGCAAAGGCAAGTCATAAAATCATCAATAATAAAACCATCAGCATATGAAACAGATTAACGAATCAGACCATAACACAAGCCATTCAAAAGGAAAGGAAAGGTAATTTTAAAGTAAATTACCTTAAAAAGGTAAACAGTAAACCATCCACACCCAAAAAAGAAATACACATTGCGCACAGCAAACTATCTCAGGCAGAATCTCCACAGTAATTTAGGTTTCCTGAGGGGAAATTTAGATGCCCAATTAAAGGAATCAATTCCTTATAACACGAGACATACCAACATTGGTTTATGTCCTATATTACACGACACTGCATTTTTTAACAGAGATATAGTGCTTCATGTTTCAAAGAGATGTGCCAATATCAAAGATTAAATCATATTTCTTTTCTACTGTGAATAATGAGTGCTGCCACTTCCTTTATTAAACACATAATAAGAACACTTAAATAATGCAATTCCAGCGTGTTTTTGCCTTAAATCAAATGCAGCAGTTGGTTAAGGAAGCTGATCACCCAGACCGAAAGGGTTGTGTTTTATCATCACATTCGTGGCTCAGAGAAAGCTTAACAGAGAAAAATAACAAGGAACACTCCACAGTCGAGAAACAGAAATAACAAGCAGAAAATTCTGTGTGGATATGAAAGGATACAATTGACAAATACACTAATCATGTTCATATTGCAGTGAAAAGCAGTGAAGTAAAAACCCATACTGCCCTCAAACACTATGCTTGTAAAGTGAGATGCTATTTGTATTTTTTCTCTCTCTGTCTCTCTCCCTCATACCTTGCCCGACGAAGGGTGGGCAGCTGAAAATTCGGATGAGTAGGAGGTCTTCAATGACTTGGATCGGCGAGGCTGGTGTCTCAACTCGTCCCGTTGGTATCTCACCGAGCCGCCGCTCTGTACCCGGACCTTGCCGGTCCCTTGCACGCTGTTCACGCCAATCATTTCCTCGAGGGCACTCGGTGGTCTGATGGGCAAAGGGGATTAGGAAGAACCCGGGCGACCGTCTTCAAAATTCACAAGCTCAGCAATCAGCATCTGCTGGAGGAGGCAGCCTCAGCAGCACAAGCGTCTTCCAGCTTCAAAAGGAGAAGTGTGCCTGCCTTTTGCTCACAATTTCCTACATTGTTTGGATTTGGACTGATCATTTCAGGGTAGGCTCACATCAGGGGCTGCAAGTCACACACACACACAAAAAAAAACCATCCCCTGAATGGTCCGAGCCAATGGCAAGGGGCCAGGCAAGCGGTTCATTTATATTCTAAATAGCAAACACGACTGTTTCTCTATCCTTGAACTGCAGGCTCATTAAAGGTAGGCAGTGAGATCCCACTAATAAAAGATTATAGTAGTCCATCAGCTACATATTGGGAACTAAATTGAGCCCGAATTAGGTAATGGGTGCGCGCAAGTGGAAAAAAAACATGAATCATGTTTCAGTCTGACATTCTGAAAATAGTTAAGGGACATTCTGGATGTGATTACGGGCGTATATCAGCAGCTTTGTTAAAACTATCTGTTTTAGCACAGCCCCTGTTATGGGTAAATGTGCTGTCTGAAAACACCAGTGTGGGTCCCAAAGATAGATGATTATTGTCCATTTTAATCTTCATTTCCTTTCTGAGTCTTATGGCATTGCTAACTGAATAGGTGCTTACCCAGTCTATATCTTTCAGACACTCTGACAGCTGATTGAGATTTTCTTTCCACAAGCTTATTTTTATGGTTTGGAAACGTTGTGCATTTTATTCGATAGCAGAGTTTGGGGGTTTCATTTTTTGTGTCTAAAAGGAATTCTCCCAAGAGATTTTTCTCTCGCCAAACCCCCAACTTTCCAGACCATGTTTCTCTGCACCTTCCCAAGGGAGTACAACAGCAGCACAGAGGGGGAGGTAAGTAGTTTCTTACTGCAACAGTTCAAACTGTTTGAGTGTGGGGACATGTTTGATACAGGAGCAGGTCTTTTCCTGTCTGTCACTCCCAAATATTCGTGGGAAAACACACGTGCGAATCCTCCGTGAGTGTTGCGATCTGGAATGCACTAACCAGAAGGGAGGCAGAGGTAGATTCAATCACGGCTTTCCATTCTTGATTATACAGTCATAGAGTAGCACAGCATGGAAACAGGCCCTTTGGTTCAACCTGTCCATGCCAACCAGATATCCTAAATTAATCCAGTCCCATATCCCTCAAAACCCTTCCTATTCGAGTACCTATCCGGATGCTTTTCAAATGTTGTAATTGTACCAGCCTCCACCACTTCCTCTGGCAGTTCAAACCATACACACACCACCCTCTGTGTGAAAATGTTGCCCCCTGGAAACCTTTTAAATCTTTCCCCTCTCACCTTAAACCTGTGACATCTAGTTTTGGATTCCCCTATCCTGAGGAGAAAAACCTTGGCTATTCACCCTATCCATGCCCCTCATTATTTTATAAACCTCTATACGGTCACCCCTCAGCATCCAACGCTCCAGGAAAAATAGCTCCAGTCTATTCAGTCTCTCCCTAGAGCTCAAACCCTCCAGCCCTGACAACGTCCTTATAAATCTTTTCTAAAACCTTTCAAGCTTAACAACATCCCTCCTCGAGCAGAGAGACCAGAATTGAATGCAGTATTCCAAAAATGGCCTAATCAATGTCCTGTACAGCCGAACTCCTATACTCAATGCACTGACCAATAAAAGCAAGCATACCAAACACCTTCACTATCCTGTCTACCTGTGACTCCACTCTCAAGGAACTATGGACCTGCACTCCAAGGTCTCTTTGTTCTCAATTCCAGAAAGGAATTGGAAAAGTACCTCATGCAAAACAAGTTTGCAGGGCTACAGAGAAAGGGTCCGGCTAAATTGTTCTTGCAGAGAGCCTGAATGGGATCTGACAGACTAAATGTGCTGTAAACATTTTATGAGTCAATGGTTCAATGATTCCATGATTAACTTCAAACACTTGCTGCTGATACTACAGGAACAGCGCAATACTGTAGTCTGCAAGTGGTGGCAAGGATCTCTAATGTACTAAGTCCAAGTTCAGATACATTTTAAAAATTCAAATACATTTTGTCCCTCTCTCTCTCTCTCCCTCCCTCCGTCCAGGGGAGGGGAAGGAATTTCATGCAAAGCTGCTAAATGCTCAGTTACCAATTCTGAATGAAGCAAAATGAAAATCTACAATTTATTTAAAATCAAGCAAGATATTTTTATTCAACCTCCATCTGACTGTCTGCAGGTCCTTTTCTTTATGCCTACCCTCATCTCTTTTTCTTTTGGCACAGGCAGCAACCATTTGGCAAGCTGCAAGGGTCAATGAATCGAGTCGTCAAAATGGTCAACAACTTCATTTCTGTAGTGCCTTTAATTGAGGAGTAACATCCGATGCTTGGCTCAACAGTGCAGATGCAGGAAAGGTGCTTCCCCTGAGCAGGCCCTTCCAGAACCAGGTAAATTGTAGGCCATTTAGGACTGACACAAGGATACCTTGAAACGAAGAAAACAGAAATAGGTGTATGCCATTCAGCCCTTTGAGCCTGCTCCGCTATTTCAGTATGATCTTGGTTGATCATCCAAACTAGGTTCTACTAACCCATACCCATTCATCTCTTCAGTCCCATGAACTATATCTATCTCCATTGTGAAGAGCATTCAATGCTGTGGCCCCAACCACTTTCTGTGGCAAAGACTTCCACAGGTCACTACTTTCTGGGTGAAGACATTTGGGGTGGCACGGTGGCTCAGTGGTTAGCATTGCTGCCTCACAGTGCCAGGGACCCGGGTTCAATTCCACCCTCAGGTGACTGTCTGTGTGGAGTTTG